GTCACCCGCGGGGGGCGCCTGGGCCAGCTCAGAAACGCCTCCGCGCCGCGGCACCCGCCCCGCCCCACCCCACCCCACCCTCCCGGGCTCCGACGCGGGCCGCCCTCGGAGCGGAGGGTCGCGGGCCCCGGCACCTGGCGGCCCCGCGCCCGCACCTCCGCGGCGGAGCCCCCGGCCCCGCCCCCGCCCCGCCTCCGCCCTGACGCCCCCGCCTCCGGGACCCCCGAGCCCCGGCTCAGCTCCCTCACCGGCGAGGAGCTGCGGGCGCCGCGGTGCGGTCCGTCAGGCAGCCGCTGCCCCCTCCCCCGGCTCCGGCTCCGCCGCCTCCTCTCGGGACAGGAGCCGCCTGCCCGCCGGCCGCAGACAGCGGGCCCGGGCACCCGCCCCCACGGCTCCGCCTCCGCGTCGCCCATTGCGCCGGCCGGCCGTCACTCAGCCCGGGCCCTGCTGTCATTGGGCAGCTTTCGACGCGTGCCCCGGGGCGCGCCGCCCATTTCCCGCCCCTGCCACCCGGCCACACGCGCGCTCATTCCGGGCAGTGATTGGTGTGGGTCTGATTGGCGCGCTCCACGGTCAATCAACCACACCTCCCCGCCTCCTCGCCGCGCCATTGGTGGGAGCCGCGGGGGGCGGCAACGCCACGCGCCCTTTGATTTTATTGGTTGGTCTGCGGGCCTCAGGCCCCGGCCGGGGGCAGCCGCTTCGGCCCAATCCCGGCGTGAGAAGGTGGGACGTACCGGCCGCCACTCGAATCCCGGGAGAACCTTCTGGAACCTGTGCAACGTCAAAGGCAATCTTAAAGGAAAACGGCACCCACCATTTGGCCGTGACTTTAGGCATTTTTTTCCCTTCCTCTTTTAGTTTAGAAGGCCGGGGGCGGGGGTGGCGGGAACGGGCGCCCGGGCAGGTGCGGGCCCGCGCCCGCCGGGGTCAGAGGCCGCCCCGCACACCTGTCTTCCGGGAGGGGCCCGCGAGCTGACCCACCTGGCCTGGTTTCGCTTTCCCGTCCCTTGATCTGACGCCGACCTGAGGTGACCTGACCGGCTCTCGGCGCGGCCGCGGCGTGGAAAGCGCCCTCGCTCGCCTCTGCGGCCGCGGCCCGCGGCCCCGCGGTTCCCTGTCAGAGCCGCCCTTCCACCCTCGGGGTAACCCCCGCCCCCCGCGCCCGCAGCACGGTCCCCGCAGCCCGCACCCCACGGGGCCCGTCAAAGTCCCCTGTGAACGTTCATCCTTCCACCCCTTTGAGCCCCCACACTTCACGCCCCCGCCCCCCACTTTCCCCTCCTCGCGGCCGGTCTCTTTCCCTGGGCTGACTCCTGTTCGGACTCCTTTTCCCATCAGATCGCCCTCTCCTCGCTGCCCTCTGACCCTTCGTATCAGCTGCACGTGGTTGGTCTCCTTTCTCAGCGCCCTTGACAGCGCCCATGGAAGTCCCTCTACCCCCGCCCCCCGCCCCCCATTAAATCTCAGCCCCAGTGTCCCCGCGCCGAGAGCAGGCAGCGCTGCGGAGGCGGGAGCCGGCGGAAGCCGACGCTTGAGCAGACACGGTGCCTGGCGCGCCCACGTCGCTGTCTCCCAGGCCCATCTGTGCTGGAGGGAGCGGGGGTGGGGAGGGGGTAATCCGGGGGTGAAGAGGGGGAGGGAGTTCTTGGGGGTTTTAAGGACAAAATAAGGGCCACGGCAGAAGCTCTGCTCGCCTCTGCTTGCCCTTTCCCGAGACGGCGCTCGGACACCCCGGGCCCCGCACCCTGGAGAGCGCGGGACGCCGAGGCCAGGAGAGCCTCCCTGGCCACACAGCGGGGTGCGGCAGGAGAGAGGCCTCGGGCTCTGCACACTCTCCCCACTTGCCCTCTTTCTGGTGCCCGCTGTAGGGCTCCTGGGTGTGAAGGGGTGTGAGGCGGGAAGGAAGGAAGTGGGGTAAGAGGATGGAGAAGGGGTGGGGTTGGGGGGTGAGGCGAGGCGCAGGGAAGAGAGGGTGAAGGTGGAGAGGAGAGTGGGACAGGTACAGAGGAAAGGGGTGTGCGGGGAAGGGAAAGTGGGGCACTCGGAATAGAGAGGGGGAAGATGGCCTAGCAGCAAAAGGATGGGACAGAGAGGTGGGTGAGGAGAAGCCGGGGAGGTGGGTGAGGGTGGGAGAGGCTGGGAGGTGGGAGATGGGTGAGGCCGTTGCCAGGGAATGGAAGAGTGTGACATAGAGATGAGTAAGGTAAGGGTGAGGAGGCCCAGTACGCTGAGCGCTGACTCCTTCCATGTGGGGGCTCTCACCCCCACCCCCAGTGTAAGGGGGCCTGGACTGTGGGTGCTGCTGCTTCCTATTCCAGTTCTATTTTGCCTCCTCCAGGCTCGCCTGTGCCAACACGGAGGCAGAGAGTTTAGTCACTGGCCCTTACCTGGTCCCCGCGAAAGCCAAAGTGTAGGCTGAGCCCGCGGGAAGGCAGGACTGAACCCTTAGGGGTTAGTAGCATGAACTCCATTGTGGGCTGGGTACCTACTGCCTCCCTGCCTGCCCCTTCCCTGAGCACCAGGGGTGGGTGTGTGTGTAAGGAACCGGCCCGGTGTGGCCTAAGGTGTGAGAATGTGGACTCGAGTCAAACTTGACCTTGCGAGGTTCCTTGCCTCATTGCTTTCTGTGCCTCATTTCTTTCTTGGTGAAGTGGGGCTCGTCAACAGCAGCAACCCGCAGGGGTGTTGGGAGGGCTAGTTAAGACAACATATAATGTACCTACTTCTGAGCGTGGCCTACAGTTAATGCTCAACAAAATTAATCATTACTCTGCGTTCACAGATAGACGAGTGTGTGAGTGCATCTGTAAATGTGTGAGTCTGATTGGGAGTTGTTTGTACTATTGTATCTGTAATGCGATTTGGGAGTGAGAGCATCTGGATAATTCTTTTGTGTGGCAGGGTGTCTGATTCTTTGTCGTTTGCTTTAGGTATGTGATGTGTCCGCGTACGTGTGGGATCAAAGAACTCCTCAGGCCCGTGTCTCCATGACAATGAGTGGATCAAGTGTGGCTCTGTGGCTCTTGACACATTGACACCGTGTCTGCTGGTATGTGCATGCGTCTGTGATCATGTCAGTTCCAAACACCCCCACTCACCCTTCCTTCCCATAGAGACGTCACAACCCTAGGTGTCCCTCATTTCCTCACCCTGAGGGAACCGGAACCTGGGGGCCGGGTGGGGGTGGGTGCCAGTGAGGAGGTGTTTAGACAGGAGCACACTTCCCTCCCAGACTGTGTATGGGAGGGGGAGCCCGTCTCTTGCACACATCCTGAGAGCTCCAGAGGAAGTGCTCCCTCCCTGCCTAGCCTGTTCTCAGTTCCCTGTCTTGTCACCATGGTAGCAGTTGCCAGGGGCCCCCACAGTTGCTAAGATGTGGATGTGGGTGGCTGCCAGGCCCTGTTGCCAGTGGAAACAGAATCCTGGGGGAAAGGAAGACTACCCCCACAGCTGCCGGCTCTCCGCGGGGATAGGAGTGGCCCTTGGGGCTCTCCTGTCCCCAGATTGTACCTGTGATTCTTATGTGGCAGTGCTAGGGTTGGCGGGGGCTTGAAGAGGACACAAGCCAGAGTACTGGGATCACCTTCTTCTGAAGAGAGAGGGAGCGCTGGCCTTCCCATTGCCATCTTTAAGGCCGGGAGGCCCTTCGAGGTTCATAAGGGTCTCATTTTGTCCCTCAGTCCTTACGCTGTACTCGCCTCCAGGCAATGTCTGCTTGCGCTCTCTGGGGTCCAGTGCCTGTTACCTGAAGTACTCCTTTGACCCGGAGTACTACCTTGACCCCATTACTGTGGAAGCCACCCACTCCTTCCTAGGTCAGACTCCCAGCATTTCTCCGGGTGCAGACTGCATTTGCCACCTAAGCCTGGACTTTGAGTCCCAACTTTGCCTTCAGCTTGAAGACACTGACTTTTGTTCTAGTCCTCATGAGACAGTTCCCTAAACCCAGGCACAACCCAAGACCTCCTCCCAGATCAGCTTGATACTTGAACTCAGCGACAGATTCGCTTCTTATCCTGCACACTGTGTGAATATTGACGGGTACCCTAACTCATCTCCGAGCATCTTCCACCGGCAAGTACGATGCGGTTCGAAAGAGTTACTTCTTGCTCTGGTGAGCGGACAGAGCTCGAGCTGACCAGCAGGTGGCGTGCGGTGTCAGGTTCTAGACACAGGCGTCCCAGCGCCCCCGGGAGAGGCTGTCAGGCATATTGAGATCTTAGGTGTTTTATTTGAGGTCAGGACCCAGAGCCGCAATCACAACAGTTGATCAAAGGTAGAGAAATAAGGAAATTAAGGTTTCCAATGTGGTAATGACAACACTTTGAGATTGTGTGGGTCAGTACAATCCTGGATCTCCATCCAGTGGAGTTGGACTCAGGTCTGGGTATGCACCAGAAGGTTCTAAGTCATTTACTGGCACTGTAGGTCTCAAGAGGACGGCATAGCTACTAAGGCTTTCCACCTCCACCTCACAATGTCTGTCATCTGCTCACGCAGCTTCACTGCCTTGCCTGATCTCCCCTTATCTTTCGGCCCCGCTGAGCAGAAACCTGCCTCTCTTTTACCTTTGGTCTTAGGTCTCTCCTTGAGGTGATATTGACCTCATTTGTCCCAGGGTTGAGCTGCAGGAAACAGGCATGATGCGTTCATGTTGTCTGGGCTGCAGCTGGGAGTCCAGATAGAAATCCTGCGCAAACTCAGAGTAGACAGGCTCAGGGGCCTCACGTCTTCCTAATTCCTTCAAAAACTCGGATTCCTCTATTCAGCATCCCCATTCCCTTTGGGGAAGCCCCTGCATCCTCCCAACCCAGCCCGTACTTGATTGTTGGGAAAGTGAGCACCAGGAAAGCTCTAGAAAGAGAGCCACAGCGGATGGTGTTCTTCCTGCTCCTATCTTCATCTCAGACTCAGAGATTGGTCAATGATAAGAAACCCCACAGAAATTCAGCACATGCCCCCCAAAAAACAGGAAACAGGAAGCTAAAATAGCATCACATCTCTTTATTATGAGCATCAGCTCCTTCTGAAGGCTGAGCCATGGGGAGGAACATGCAGCTGTACTGATGGGAAGACAGGGCTTGGGGAGGCCCCCCTCAGCTTACTGTCAAGTTACCTTCCGCAGAAAAGCACATGGGGACAAAGGGAGGACCAGAGAGCACTGCACCCTCCACTGTCACCCGAGTCGCCGCCCAGCCACCTCCACAAGGCTGCGTTAGACCGGGAGACAGCGCACAGGCCAGCTCTTCCAGGAGACGAAGCTTAAAGGCTGTTTCACCACGAAATGGAAAAGCCCTTCTACTTCCACCCTCGTGTTTTCATCCGCGGTCATGTTATCAGTACTCTACAAACTGCAGTGTGCGCTTTCCTCGTCTCCGGCCCGGACCAGGCCTTACCGTCTCTCCACCCTCCAGGCCTTTAGGGCCGGTGGCCCAGAGGGAAGGTGGTTTTCTTCTGTGCTAATGCCGGCTAGTATTTCTAGGCTTAGAAATTCTGTAGTTTTCTCTCCTTCCAAGGCAGTCAAAAGCAGTGTCAGCAGGAGGGCAAGAGCAGGGGAAGTGGCCAGCCCCGTCCCACCCCAGGGCTGAGCTGCAGGAAACAGGCATGATGCATTCATGTTGTCTGGGCTGCCGCTGGGCGTCCAGCGAGAAATCCTGGGCAAACTCAAACTAAGCGGCATGGGGACAGCAGCAGTTGTACCCCATTATCAACGGGCGTGCGTGAAACGGGTGTGTGCGTGAAGAGTCTGTGGTTACGGTGCTTTTTAGGATATCCTGCATTAAGGTAGTTTTGCCTTTTCATGCCAAGTATTTACCTGCTGTTACCCTGCTAGTTTGAAGGGGACATTCTAGCAGGATCGCCAGAGCCTGTTCTTAATTTTGTCCTGCCTGGAGATCAGCCTTGGCTGTCGGGTCTCGGCTGGCCCAGGCCCTATAGCTTTTTCCGAGTTTCCCTCTCGGCCGCAGGGCTCCCGGCCACCACTCTTACCAAGCCACGAGGCCCATGTTGGTTGAGGTTGTGCTTCGGGCTGAGGCCTAGGCACTTAAGCTCAGCCCCCTGTGAGGTGCTTTTCCCCAGGCAGTTTGATTCTGTGCTTTCTCTATTGGTGGTAGGAGCGGGGGGATCCCCAATTTTGGCCCAACAAGGCCAGGGTGACACCCATAGGGAGCACCAGGGCCAGAAAGGCTAATGTCTACCCTGCAGCTCCAGTCTCTTGGGCTGGAAGCAGGAAGAGGCAACATGCTCATGGCTTTGGTGACGGAGGTCCTTAAAGGGAGAAGAGCACTTGACAGTGGGTCAGTACCTAGGAGTGAGGAAACTGCTCCACCCCTGGGATCCCACGGGTGCCTCCCTCGAAACCCAGAGCCTGCACATGTTGGGGAAGCTGGTCCAGAAAAGGAAGCCACAGAGCAGAACTGGAGAGGTTACGTGGCCACAGCCACTGCCTCTGTGGACCCAGCACCCCCGCAGCTCCGCTGTGTCTTCCGGATGTCCTTATTTCAGTGCAAGCACGGGGAAAACAACTGCTGCATGGACAGCAGACTCAGGGCAGATGGTCTTCCGAGGAGCTTCTACGTAACCCCTGTCTTTCCAGGTCAGGGCGTGGTGCAATGATTCAAGTTTTCGGTAGCTGAGGAGAAAGAGAGACGTTTTCCCATGCCCGCCCTAGAATCACACACTCAGTTTTATAATGGGCAGAATCCCACAGGCACAGTGATGGAAGGGCTTGGAAAGGAAATGCGCTTTACTGGGCTTATCAATGTTTGAAAGTCTCCATCCACACTCACTGCAGAGGGGCTCCCTGCGCTAGGGCGCTGCAAAGGGAGATCCCGAATGGGGCTTGGGTGGGGCTTCTGCAGCTCGGGACTGGGGGAGCAGTGGAACTTCTCCTTTGGTGATGAGTGAAGATGCCTACAAGAAGAGGCCCGTTGCTTTTCTGTGCCTTTCTGCTCTTTCTTCTTCCTAGACCCTGTGAGGTCTGTCCTTCCTGGACCCTGTGGAGCTCTAGCCTTTGCTGGAGGCAGTGTCCCATGCAGGAAGGCTCTTCCCAGAAAAGCTTGCTGTGCTGGGATAGGGAGAGAGGTCATCCCAAGTGGGCCTGATTCTCTTGTGGAAGAACTCTGGGGCCTGCTTTTCCAGACCCTAGGATGTGGCTGGCCTGATCTGGCCTGTGGTCTCTCCACACACCCACAGAGAGCTAGAAGCTGTAGCTCTAAAGAGGTAGGCATCACCTTGATCTGTGAAGGAGGAGGGAACAAGAAGCTGGACTGATGAGGCAGGAGGAAAAAAAAAGTTATTCAATTTTTAAAGCCCAGAGCTTATCTCTACTCATAATGCCCTGGCCATGAGATCAAGCAGTCCACGGCCATTGGCATAGAAGATAATTTTCCAGGAGAGTAAACAAGAGCCCCTGGGCTTAACGTGCTTTAATCTCAGTGCAAACCCCAGACCTGGCTGCTGCAGATGCAGTTCTTACGCCCAAGAGTAATGCACTTGCTTGCTTTTTCGGGGCGGGGGGAGGGTTGGACTGAATACCGGTTCCTCATACTAGGGAGTTTGGTTAAGGAGTATTTACAAAAAGCTGTGGGTTTTGAAATGCTCAGATCCAAATATAGGAAGCCAGCTTCATCATCTTCATTTCAGGCCTGAAAAATTCAATCCCAGAAATATTCTTACTCTGCTTCTAGGTCAAGCAGTTTCTAAAGGCGGAGACCACGCAGTGCTCTTAATACACTCCTGGTGCAGCTCTCCCCTCTCCTCTGAGCATCTCAACACTGTGCATGCTGCTTCTGTCAGCACCTAATTTAGTACAAGTGCCTTGAGCACTGGGGGTATGTGAGCTGCTGTAGGACTGAGCTCACCCTCTGTCAAGTCAGGTAGTCACATCTGGCTAAGCCTAAGTCGATAGACTAGAAATAGAAACCTCCAGGCCTCCAGGGCCAGGGGGACCCACAAGATGCACTGACTTGAGAATCTGATGTGAATATAGAAAGGGGTCAGGGACTTGGAGGCCAGGCTGGGCACCCTTGCAGCATCTGCTCGGCCCCCAAATCCACCCATGCGGAGCCCGGGCCCTAGCTTGGTGGGGAAGGCCATGGAGTGCGTGGCAGGGAGAGGCAGCAACTCAGACCATCTCTTAGTGACATGTAGAAAGAAAATCCTCCCCCTCCTGTGAGTGTTTGCTGGGACTTTCTCTGCTCAAGAAAGCGAAGATGCAAATCTTCTTGGCTCCAGCCTCTTCTCATCGGCAGGGTGGCTGAGAGGGGTCCCTGCTCTGGACTTCCGCTGTGCTGCTTTCTCCTGGGCTGTGGAGGCTTTTCCAGGTCTGCCGTTGAGTTGAGCTGGAAGGATGGAAAAGTATGTGTCTTCTCTCCTCTTTCATCCACACTTTGTGTTCATTGAAACTTGGGCTTTGGCTCCCTGGGCAGCTGACTTGGGCGAAGCACTAACACAGAGGGCAGGGACTCCTGCCACCCTACGCGTTCTAGTCAGGGCCCTCGGGCTCTGGGCCACGAGCACCCCTCTGGAAAACAGGACGGCTCACATTGTGCTAAAGACTTCTGGACTTGGATGACCTGGGTGAAAGGATCTAGAATTCCGGTTCCCTGGGAGGTGCTGCCTCCCTCTTTTCTAATTAAGACTCAACAGACTAGTTGCCTTCTCTGTCACCAAGCATTAGAACTTGAGTAAATAATGGAGGGAAGTGCAGTGGTGGTTTTCAAACATTTTCACACCCCAGCACTCCTAAGGGACAAACCACACACCTACCAGAACAACAGCTCGCCACAGAGGGGATCAGCACTGGGGGGGGGGGGGGCATGTCTGCATCTCTAGTAGAACACACAAGTCTGCTATGTTCCCTCATTAAGAACCATTTGGCCAGAGATTTATCAACTGGAAATCAGAACTGGCCATCAGAAGGGGGAAGCAGACACCCCTTTAGCCACACCAGGGGTTTTACAAAGGGACTTTGGTCCTTTTCCAACCCAAGACCCAGGTCTCTGATGGCGTGGCGGCGAGGCCTGCGTATCCATGTATGCCTGTGCACGCTGAAACGTGAGGGTGGGGTGTCCAGGAGCAGATGCTGCTACAGCTCCTAGGTCTTCTCCCTGTGGCAGGACATTTACTGCCTCTGTGATGAGGGGAACAGTGACTTCAGTGACATAAAGCTTAGTGACAAATTGAGATGCTGGCAGTGCTCCATTCCCATGAGTCTCAGGGCAGAGGGTGGGGGCTGGGGGAGGGAGAAAGGCAAGGAGGGAGGGAACGCCACTGTCGCCAGACTGAGCTTCTCCGATCCATGCTATCCTGGGGGTTTCAGGTGAATGGCTGCACTATTGGGGCGCGCAGCCAAGATGTAAATGACATTCTCCCGCAGGAAGGTGGGCCAGTCCACAGATCTGGAGGGGAAGCAAAGAACAGGCGTGTGAGGCTAGCTGCAGAGCTCAGAGGCTCTGGGGGTGTTGGGGGCGACCGAGGGTGCGGCCAGCCAGGTAAGGAGGTCCCACTCACCTACACTCCTGCTCTGTGGGCAGAAGGGCCTTGTCCTGACTCTTGCTGCTGCTGCTGGCTGGGCTGCTGTCTGCTATGGGACCCACGTGGCTGATGCTGTGGGGCACAAGGACTTGTGGTTAGAAATGGAATCGTGGAAGGCCTGGCCTCTCCCAAACTCTGATGAATCTTCTGGACATACACATCCAGACTTTGCTGATAGGGGATGAGAGAGTTTGGAGTAGAGGCTGCCCTCTGCCCTGACCAACAGGAATCACTCTTTGTCTGTAGTACAAGATCCTTTCCTGGCTGTTGGCAGGAGACATCAGGAGGTACTTGGTACCACGAGCCATTTGGCATGGGAAGAGGAGGCGGGGACGTGAATAGGGACAGGGATTGGTAGGTAGAGGACCTGACGCTGCAGGAAGCAGCCTCTGCAGGTTGTTTGCAGAACCAAGAATGCTGGGCACGATGGCACTCGGCCTCGCTGATAGTGTTGTCACTGCTGTGCGCTAGGAAGGTGGTTCGGGCTCGCTCACGCTCCTTGACTGTCAGAAGCCTTAGCAGAGAGTTCTGGGGAGGAAGAGACAGTTATGATCCTGGAGGTGAAAATATTTTGTAAGTATACACAAGCATTGAGTGTCCTACCTCTATTATAACCTCTGCAACCTCCTTAGAAGCTGCCCCATCTTTCTGATTGATTGCACCAACATTTTCAGTGGGGTCCAGTGCAAATCAATCTCCCTTGGGCTCTCTCCCCAGCCTAGCTCTGGACCACCTGTCACTGGAGGGGAACCTGAGCTCTTTCCTCATGCAGGTCCCTGCTGAGACAGTAGCCGGTGTTCCCCCAACCTGCCAGCATGCCTTCCAGGTCTCTGCCCCCCAGGATCGCATGGACAGTCACCCATTCATCCAGCTGACCCTCACCTGGGGACGCAATTTCTGTAGAAGGAGGAGGGACTCATGGGACAGGAAGTCAGACCACTCTATGTGGCCTCGACGTTCAGGGTCCAGAGAGGCAAACTGGCCGACTGCTTGCTCTTCTTGCTCGTCGCTCAGAGCCCTGTCACTGTCTCCTCGCTTTGCTGCTTGGTGGCGGTAGCGCAGGAAGTCCTCCAGTGTCAGGGAGCAATCTGTAAGGAGGGACCCTGTGCTGGCCACACTGACCCTTTCCTCAGCCTCTGGGGCACCTCCATTCACTTACGAGGCACCCCAGGGTCCTCACATTCACAGTTCTTATTGAGTGTTCGTCTCCCACCCGCAGGGCAGCTCAGGCTGTGGCTGGGGGAAGTAGCCTGGTGGCCAGCAACTCAGGAGCCGGGACCCATTCGCTCCCTGCCCCCCAATTCCAGAATCTCATTTCACAGCTCATCCTAGAAAAGATGCGGGGGGAGGGGATAGGCAGCCTGTCTTCACCCGCAGCGCAGGCCTACCGGGAATGACTTTACAGTGCTGGAACGTCTCGGCGAGGCTGTACATCTCCTCCTCAGTCAGCAGCAGGTTCAGGTTGTCCTGAGAAAACAGAACAGCTGAGTTAGCAGCCAGAGTCCGGGAGGAAAGGCAGGCCGGGGGGCCAGAGAGAGGGAAACTGTGTTTCAAGGCCATTCTGGGATCCCCTGACCCCAGACCCTCGTGCTCAATCAGGGGACTCAGGCTCCCGGGGGAGGAAGGCCCGGCTCAGGTGCCCACTGCTGGGGCAGGAGCTTTCCCAAAGCCCAGATATCATGACTTTAGCCCTGATTCCATTTTATTAAAATAGTGGCTTTTACATTATACCCTTGGGGTCCCCTGAAAGTGTCTCAGGAAGCTGCCGCAAGGGAGAAGAGGGCTAGGAAGCTGGTGGGGCTGTGACTCCCTAGCTCCATCACCCAGAGCACTGCCGTCTTTTCCACTGTATTTTGGCTGCAGTGTTAGTGTGTGCCCAAAGAGTATTTTTTTTTTAATTTATGCATACAAGAGCTGGGGTGCAGGCCAGGGGTGTCGGGGTGAGAGGATTCACCAGAGACAGAGTGGAGAGCAGAACAGGCAGATGCACTGAAATACACTGCTGAGGGGAGCAGCAGACGAGGCAGGCAAGGCCTGCTGTACTAGGTGGGCAGCTCCCTGGCCAGGGACTGAACTTGTGCTGCAGAGGCTGCGGACCGGTCATAGCGCCGAGACTTAACCCCTTGCGCCACCAGGGAGGCCCCCTCAAAGAGTATGTTAATTAAAAAAAAAATTTAATTCTAACTGTGCTCCTAGTGGATTTTATCACTTTCCACACTGATTTGGAAAGCGATGCCATCATGACAAAACTAAAAACAAATGAGTTTTTATGGTGCCCTTGACAAGTTTTAATTCCAAAAGAGCGCTGCTATGTTATTTTGTTACATTAATGTCTGGTCTTCTAGACTTTGAATTATGAATGTTTCTTTCCGGTTGAAGATTCCGCCCCACCCTAAAATGCCAGTAGAGGACAGGAGCAGACATTTCATGGACATGCACTTGTGGATCTCGTCAAGACACAAAGTGTTCCGTTCTTTCAATAAACACTTACTGGGCACCTAGTATATGCTGAGCACAAGGGCATGTGACGCCGTGGGGTGCTCAGGGTGGCTGGGGTCGGGGGGTGTGTGTGAGAGAGAGAAGATGCATGTGTGGGAATGATGAAAGGGAGGGAAGACAGGCAGAAGCCTGACAGTGGAATGCCTCCAATGCCCTTCACGGAGCTCCTCGAAGTGGGCCTTTATTTTGAAGGCAAAGGGGAGCCTCAAGGCTCAGGCGCATAGTACCATGGTCAGATCTTCAACTGCTGTGGGACTGGATTAGAGGCGCATAGTCTGGAGACGTGGAGAACAGTTAGGTGGCAGCTGCAACATACAGATGAGAGATGAGCAGCTAACTAAGGAAGGAGAATGGAGAAGAGGTGAGAAATTTGAGCACTACCAGGAGGCAATATTGAGATGACCTGTTGACTTATTGGAAGTGAGGGATAAAGGAGAAAAATGAATTGGGATTAGTAACTGGGGTAGAATGGGGCAGGGCTACTAGTCACAGAAATAAGGAATGGAGGGAGAACAAGTTTTGGGGTAGGGGAGAGGGAGAAAACACTGTGAGGGAAAAAATGAGTGCTACCGGAGCCTCTCTGGGGCCACAAGGGGTTAAGCACAGCACTTTGAAGCTATCCTCAGCCTCTGCCGCATGGGTTTCTGTTCAATCCCCGGCCAACCAGGAAGCTACCCACATGGCACAGTAGACCTCTCCTGTCTCGCCCGCTGCTCCCCTCAGCAGTGTATTTCAGTAGATCCGCCTGCTCTGCTCCCCACTCTGTCTCTGGTGAATCCTCTCACCCCCCCGCACCTCTGGCCTACACCCCAGTTCTTGTATGCATAAATCTTAACAAAACAAAAGCGTGCTAACAACAGAACCCTGATAGACAGCAGTTTTCAGGACTGGACAAGAAACTAAGGGTATTTAGAAAGAATCATCAGAGAAGGAGGTGGGGAGACAGCCAGTAAAGGGCACTGGAAGGTGAGAAAAGAGAGCTGCACGGTATAGGAGGTAATGTTAATACAAGTATGATGAGGCTTTTTTAATTTTCTATTTTCTCTGGTTTTCATATTTTGTGTAATAATTCTCTTAAAAAACACTCAAAACCTAAACAAAAAAGAGGGGCCAAAAAAAGAAAGTGCTAAATATATCAGAGAGGTCAGAGAGGTTATTGGACTTGGCAGCTGGGGAAGAGCTGAGTCAGCAGTCTGGTGAACGCAGCCGCCGAATCTCAGCTGGTTGAGGACCCAGGAGGAGATGACAAGAAGCCTGTCTGCGGAAGGAAGGAAGAAGAGGGGAGAAACTTGGAAGAAGCCGTTGTGGAAAGTCTGGGGGGCTGTGGTGGTGACCAGGCAGGGAGCTGTGTCTCCCGGGGAGGTGCCACCTTCAAGCCAGTGGCACACCAGCAGAACACTGCAAAGCAGAGAGGCGGTGAGTGAGGACTGGCATTCGGAGAGGTGGTGATAAGAGGAGAGAGTCCTCAAAGCAGGACCAGCTGTGGGTACGTCAGCGGGAGAAAAGGGATGTAGGTGGCTGGAAATAGACTTCCCCTTAGCGACAAGCCGGAGAGATGTTATTGTTAGAAAAAGGCACACCTTTGCCTCGGCAGCAGGAAGAGGGGGATCTGCAGGTGCTCCTTCCTTGGAAATCATTGAATTGGAAGATTTCTACAGATCAACAGATCAGTAAAGGAAGACCTGAACTCTACTTAGTTGTGCTGGAAGTGGATACGACCAGGGCTCTTTTTCTTCCATTAAAAGTTGCGGGGCATTTGATATAATATGTCGTTTGTGAAGTTCTGAATCAAAAGACTTCGTCATTTAACTCACATAATGATCACTCAGAGATGAAGAACGCATGCCTCCCAGTCAGGTAGTAGGCCAAGTGAGGATCCTTTGGACTAAGAAGTTTTCCTGCAACAGGCTGTCCCTACTGGAAGCAAGCTGGTTAGGATTTCAGGATGACTTTTCAGATGAGTATAAATGACAACTTTAGACTTAGAGAAAGCACTGCTCCAAGCAGAATCACCTGGAGTAATTGGGCCTTATCCTAGCCATTTAGTCCTCTAGCTCAGTGGTTCTCAACTGGGGATGATTTTGTTCCTCCAGGACACATGTGATACTATCTGGAGACATTTTTGTTGGTCACAACTGGGGGTAGATGCTGCTGGCGTCCCATGGGGTTAAGGTCAAGTATGTTGCTAAACATCCCACAATGCATACCATTCCTGCTGCAAAGACTTACTGGACCCAAAATGTCAATAGTATTTTTGAGGTCTAGAAAGTCTTTCCCAGCTCCATGACCCTTGAATCTACTACTGGACAATTCTTTAGTCATTGCTGGAGCCCGGCGGTCTAAGACGGGGCCTCCAGGAAAACTGCCAAGTCCCCTGTGGTGCGGCAGCCCGCTGTCCCTGCAGCCCAGGCTCACACAGTAGTGGCAGCTCCAGCCTGTTTCCGTATGGGCCGTCTCGGTCACCTCCGCTGTACTATCTCCTTGGAGATAGCCCATGCGGCGCAGGCAGCCATCGTGGAAAACCCTGGTGCAGATCCTGCACGGGAAGAGGCTCTCAGCTGTCCAGACTTCACAGATATCACACATCTCATCATTGACAATCTGGGGAAAGAGGAGAGGAGTGAACAGGGATGTTAGTGCAGACAGCAAGCATCTATGACCCCAAACACAGAACTACCCTCACGGGGCTGAGTCTCCCTGGAGCAGCATAGAGGAACAGCTTCAACTGAAGCAAGTAGTAAGGCCATAAAAGTTTCTCTTTGGGGAACAAGGACCAGCTGCTCAGGTCTCTATGACCATATTTCTGAACAGGGATACTACAAGCGTGTGTGTGTGTGTGTGTGTGTGTGTGTGTGTGTGTATTTATATATATATGCATATATAGTTATATATTATATGTATTATATATATTTTTTTTACATCATTCTTTTTGTACAATGTATACTTTCTCCTCTCAGGTGTAGTCCCATATAATTCCCATGACCAGTTCACCTGTGCACCATCACCATAGTCCCTGTGCTCTTCCCTCTCCAGTTTTGATCCCCCTCCCTTCCCCTCCCCCTGGAGAGTATTTCTGGTTTATAGTTGCCTGTTAATTTTGTTTTTTAATGTATTATAATTATTTTATTCCAGATCCCTTATTTGGTTCCTGTACATTCTTCCTATAAGTGAGACCATCTGATATTTTTCTTTTTCTTTCTTGCTTATTTCACTGAGCATGATCCCTTCCAGCTCCATCCCTATTGCTGTGAATGGCATGAATTTATCTTTTTTGATTGCTGAGTAATATTCCATTACACACACACACACACACACACACACACATCTTCTTGATCCAGTCATCTATTTTGGGACATTTGGGTTGTTTCCATATCTTAACTATTGTGACTAGTGCTGCAGTAAACATAGATATCATACATCTACTATTACTACTAGCATCTTTTGAAAGAATAATGTGTTGTGAGAGATTGTTCAGGTATTGCAGGACACTTAGCATCCCTGGTTTTCTTGGTACAAAAGCCAGTAGCAACTTCAAGTTATTGTGGCCTCCCTGAACTACCTGCTCTCAAAATTTCCAAATGCCTCCTACTATCCTCTGGGTGGGAGGGCAGCGGAATACCAGCCATGGAGTCATTCCTTATCACCTACTGCCTCATGTCTTTTACTAAGAGTAATCTAGGATGTAACTAACATTTTTATTCTTATGGAAGAAATTAAAAGGTTGCTCTAGACTCAGTTCCATCTCTCTGGCTTTGAATCTCACCTCAACTGTATCCACTCTTCCCTGTCCTATTCTCTGATCCACAAAAGGTCTAAGACTTAGAATTCTGTCCTAATGGGACACTCACAGTTTCTCTGAGCTCCAAGGAGATATCTGGGGGCTTGTCATCATCCAGCTTCCGGGTGGGGCGGATATAGGCAGGGGCTGTGAAACGACCGGCTTTGTCAAAGTCCTCAGGCTCCACTCCACGCCCATCTCGAAGCCTCTCCCAGGCTGCACGATAGCTGCTGCTCTCTTCCTGGGGCACCGGGGTGCTGGCCTCAGCTTCCTTCTCCTCTTGCACTTCTTGGACAGAGCCTTCTACAGTGCCTCGGCGGGAACCTGGCAGCTCACCTGTGCGTCGGAGTGAAGGTCTGTCCCGCAGCCCATCCTTGAAGGCAGACACAGCCAGGCTCACCTTCTGCACCTGTTCTACTGTCTGCCGCTTGGACATCAACACCCCCATGGTTCTGTGGATAAAAACCAGAAGATCCCAGACTCAGCCAGTGGCTGAGCATATTATATCAATCAGTTTCAACCATTCACCTAAGTGTCAAGTGCTATTAAGTATTTTCTCCCTCTTCTGCAATTCAGTAGCATTGTGGGTACAGAAAGCACTCTTTCAGGAGGTGGAATTCCTTCCTTTCACTTCTGACTGGCCTGTGACTTTGGATTTCCTATCTATGAAATGTGGGTGATCTACCTGGTCTACTTCACAGGGCTGCCATGAAGATAAGGTGGTGAGGAAATGGGCTTAACAATACTTAATAACACCCCAAAAGCATCAAGTGATAAACCCTATCTTTCTACCTTCCTTCCTAAAGTCAATTAGTTCCAGGGGCCCCAGGCCAAGTCTCTCCTTTGCCTCACAAGATGACCCAGGGCTTAGAGCAAGCCTGCAGCAACCCATTCCAGACATCCGATAGAAGGAAAGCTCCTCCAGTAAGTGCCATGCATAATCAACCCATCCAGGAACACCCATGTCAAATGCCTACTTTCTGAGTAAGAGTGAAGGAACTATTTTTAGAGAACTTGTCAGTTAGTTAGTTAGGTAACTCTTCCACCCTATCATGTGGTCAAGATCACAAACTCTCCTTTGCCTGCCCCCCCAACTAGTAACTAAGTTTATTTATGGGTCTGTTTGTGTTTCACAGACAACTGGCCCATTGCCAGCTCTAAGTACTTCTCACACAGTAAAAGTTTCATTGATGTCTCTCACATTTTCTGTTTTGATTTTCTGAACTACTCAAGAAAGGTCCATAAACTTCACGTTAAAAAGTAACCATATAGGGGGCCTCCCTGGTGGCGCAAGGGGTTACATCTCAACGCTGTGAAGCTATCAGCAGCCACTGCGCAAGAGCTCCCTCCCTGACCCAGGGAGCTACCCACGTGGCGCAGCAGACCTCCCCTGGCTCGCCCGCTGCTCCCTTCAGCAGTGTATTTCAGTGGATCTGCCTGTTCTGCTCCCCGCTCTGTCTCTGGTGACTCCTCTCACCTGCCTCACCTCTGGCCTACATTGCAGCTCTTGTATGCATAAACAAAAATAAATCCATAAAAAAAGAGTAACCTTATCCCTGCTCTTCCTTTGCGGTACTTCCTTAGCACTGGCAAGTGAGGATGTGAGGTGGTGCTCGGCAGAGCAGGGCTGCTATTCCTAGTGTGAAAGGTCTCAGATTCTGCTGGGGAATGCTTGCTCTAAGTAAAGGGGAACAGAAAGTCCATTTTAGCCTTGCTCTCAATCCACTATAACCAAGGCTTATTGAACAGTTCTGTGTGCGGGGCACTAACTCCTCCTCACAGGAAACAGAAGACAGGAGAGCAGTTTCACCAATCAGGCCACTGAGTATCAGGACTCAGAGTAAGGAAGGGTCCTGACGACGCCTTAGGGGAGATGAGACCACACTGCTGGGAGTGCAAGTAGACTGTGGAGGATGGGTAGTAAATTATCCTGTTTGTTGGTGGGAAAAGTTGACAGAGAGTAGGAGGAAAGATTCGGGCCAATTTGAAGGCTACATTAACAGTCCAGGGAGGAGGTAGAAAGTTGAAAAATCTTTTTTTTTTTTAAAAGATTTATTTATTCATGCATACAAGAAACGGGGTACAGGCCAGATGTGCGGAAGGGTGAGAGGATTCCCCAGAGACAGAGTGGGGAACAGAACAGGCAGACTGACTGAAATACACTGCTGAGGGGAGCAGCGGGCGAGACAGGAGAGGTCTGCTGCGCCATGTGAGATTCTCGCGGGCCGGCAGGGATGGAACCCGCGCTGCAGAGGCTGCGGACAGCTTCACAGTGTTGAGCTCAACCATTTGCACCACCAGGGGAGGCCCCAGGAGGTAAAAAGTGTAACCCGAAACAAGGGCAGCAGGAATTATACAGAGTCTATTTGATACCATGAAAACAGAATTAGAATGAAGAGGTAACTGGTTGGATCAAGGGTAAAAAGCTGGGGCATTTGTATTAATTGCTCTATTCCCCAGCTTTATTGTGGTAAGACTGACATATAACATTGTGTAAGTTTAAGGTGCACAGGCACACCCGCAAGTTATTGCATGTTGGGCTCCAGACCACCCACAAAAGCAAGCATCACAATGAAACAAGCCGTGTGAATTCTCAGATTTCCCACTGAAGTTACGGTTACACTATAGTGTAGGCCATTACGTGTTCAATAGCATTATGTCTAAGAAAATGTATACACCTTATTAAAAATACTTTATAGGGACCAGGGAAAAGACTATAATAACGTAAAAATCAAAATCAATAAGCAACTATAAACCAGAGACACACTATGGGGAGGGAGTAGGATCAAAACGGGGGGTGGGGGGTGGGTGGGAATTGTATGGGGACTATCACCAAGATGAAAATGCAGACACTGTACAAAAATGAAAAATGATGTACAAAATACATAAAATAAAAAAAATGAAAAAAAAAATGCTAGCCATCATCCCAGCCCCCAGGGAGTTGTGACCGTTTTGCTTGGTAGAGTGTCCCGCCTAGATGTTGGTGGCTGCTGACTGATCGGGGGTGATGAAGGCTATAGTAGCTGTGGTCATTTCTTTTTTTTAAGATGTATTTATTTATGCATACAAGAACTGGGGTACAGGCCAGAGATGCTGGGGGAGAGGGGGAGAGGACCCACCAGAGACAAGAGTGGGGAACAGAACAGGCAGACCGACCGAAACACACTGCTGAGGAGAGCAGCAGGCAAGACAGAAGGGGTCTGCCTCGCCATGTGGGTTGCTCCCTGGCCAGCCAGGGATCAAACTCATGCTGCAGAGGCTGCGGACTGCCCCATAGTGTGGTGCCTACCCCTTGCACCACCAGGAAGGCCCTAGCTGTGGTCATTTCTTAACATAAGACAGCAATGAAGTGTGTTGCATCAACTGACCCTCTCATGAAATACTTCTCTGTACACGTGATGCTGCTGGATAGCACTTTATACACAGAACTTCTTTCAAAATCGAGAGGAGTCAATCCTTCCTCTCAAACGCTGCCACCTGCTCTATCAACTAAGCTTATATAACATTATAAATACTTTGTTGTCACTTGAACAACGTTCACAGCATTTTCACCAGGAGTAATACTTCCTTTGCTCATCCAAAAGCAGCAACTCCTCATCCATCAAGTTTGAACCATGAGATTGCAGCAATTCAGTGTCATCTTCAGTCTCCATTTCTAATTCTGTTATTTCTACTGCATCTGCAGTTACTTCCATCACTGAAGTCTTGAACCGCTCAAAGTCTTCCCAACTCCTGTTAATGTTCTGATCTTCTCCCCGCCCCCCCCCCATCATGAATGTTCTCAATGGCATTTAAAATGGCGAATCTCTTCCAGAAGGTTTTCAGTTTTGCCCAGAACAATCAGAAGAATCACAATTTATAGCAGCTACAGCCTCACAAAATATATTTCTTAAGTAATAAGATTTGAAAGTCAAAATTACTCCTTGTGCTACAGAGGGCATGATGTTAGGCATGTTATGTTAGACGTGAAAACAGTGTGACTCTCCTTGCACATCTTCAGAGTGCTCAGGTGACCAGATGCATTGTTAATAAGGAATTTTGAAAGGAATCTTTTTCTGAGCAGTATGTCTCTACAGTGGGCTTAAAATACTTAGGAAGCCATGTAAAAAATGTACTATCATCCAGGACTGGTGATTCAATTTACAGAGAAGAATAGATATAGCATAATGTTTAGGAGCCCTGGGACTTTTGGAAAGGTTAATGAGCACTGGCTTCATCTTCAAGTCACTAGCTGTGTTAGCCCCTCACAAGAGAATCATCCTGTCCTTTGAAGCTTCAAAACCAGGTATTGCTTTCTCCTCTCAGCTAGGAAGTCCTATATGGCCTCCTCCTTCAAAATACATCTGTTTCATCTACAAGGAAAATCTGTTGTTTAGGGTGCCTGCCTTTATCGGTGATTAAGGTATTTTCTGAATAACAGTACCTGCTGCTCCATTTTATATATATATATTTTAAAGCAGGTTTCTTTATTTTTTATTTTTATTTATTTATACAAGCACCGGGTGCAGTCAGAAGCGCGGGAGGGTGAGAGAATTCACCAGAGCCAGAGCGGGGAGCAGAGCAGGCAGAAGGACCGAAGGACACTGCTGAGGGGAGCAGCGGGCGGCAGGAGAGGTCTGTGCGCGTGTGGGACCCTCCTCTGGTGGCCGGGGAGCAGCCGGGGATTGAACCGGCGCTGCAGAGGCTGCGGGCAGCTTTGCAACCCAGTGCTCAACCACTGTGCCATCGGGGAGGCCCCATTTTATATTTTGATACTATATAGACAGCTTCTTTCCTTAAAGACTTCATGAACCTGTCTCTGCTTAGTTTTACCCTTTCTTCTTCAGCTTCCTCACCTCTCTCAGCCTTCACAGAATTAAAAGAAAGTTAGGGCCTTCCTTTGGATTAGGCTTTGGCTTAAAGGGATGTTGTGGCTGGTGTGATCTTCTAGCCAGACTCCTAAAACTTTCTCCATATCAGCAGTGAGACTGTTTGCTTTCTTATCATTCCTGTGTTCACTGGAGTGGCACTTTTAATTTCCCTTCAAGAGCTTTTCCTTTGCATTTATAACTTGGCTAAGTGTTTGACAGTAAAGGCCTAGCTTTTGGCCTATCTCAACTCAACATGCCTTCTTCACTAAGCTTAATCATTTCATTTGAATGTAAAGTGAGAGAAAAGGGACTCTTCCTTTTACTTAAACACTTAGATGCCACTGTAGGGTTTTTAATTGGCCTAATTTAAGGTTGTTGTCTGAGAGTATAGGAAGGCCTGCTGATAGGGAGACGGTGAACAGTGGTTGGTGGGGCTCCCAAACAGTTAAAACAATAGTAACATCAAAGATCACTGAACTCAGGTTATCATAAGAGATATTATAATGAAAAAAATTAAAATATTGTGAGAATTACCAGAATGTGACACAGAGACATGAGCACATGCTACTGGAAAAATGACACTGAAGATGTGATCAATGCAG